ACTCCCAAGCTTCATCAGCGTTTTTCCTCATGAAATCCCCGTGGCACATTGATTCTAAAGAAGTTTTTGCAGAATAATCTAATCATTCATAAATTATTTGGTACAATCGCCATTTTTCTAAACCGTGATGAGGACATTGGATGAGAAGATCTTTAAATCGGTCAAAATACTTCCAAAAGGGTTCTCCCGAGACAATTTTAAAATTCATGATACTGTTTCTTAGCTTCACCGTTTTATGGATAGGAAAAAATTTCTTAAGAAAAATGGTGATAAATTCTTCCCACGTAGTGATGGAATTTACGGGTAAGCTATACAGCCATTTTTTTACTTTGTCTTTGAGAGCAAATGGAATAATACAGCCATTTTTTTACTTTGTCTTTGAGAGCAAATGGAATAAATCTGAGTTTGATCGCATCTTCTGTAATTCTCTCATTTTAATCATAATACACACTTCCTCAAATTCCGAGATAAAAATATATGCATCTTCTATTTTATTTCCAAGGAATTTGGGAAGTATGTTTATGTAATGCGGTCTAAGCTCAAAATTTATTCCATTTATTTCAAGGAGCCTAATGCAAGAGGGGATTGCATTCCTAATGGGATAGCACATATCATGAAGAACGGGTGGATTAGGATGCTCCATTTCTATGATTGGTTCAAAGCGAATTAATTGACGTGTATTATCCCTAATCCACTGTTGCATACACCAAAACTATTTCTTTTTATTTTTTTTAAAGAAAGAAAGAAAAAAATTAGTTTTTTTTTTATTAGAAGAAAAGGATAAAGAAAAATCCTAACTAAAACAAATCAAAGCAATCACTTTTCAATCACTCTAATTCTAGGTTTTAGCCTAACTCACTAGACCAGCTCCTAACCAAAAACTCCTACAGTGAAAAGATTAAAGTTTTACCCAGGTAGTTAGCCAGGTAAGGATAGTACTAGAGGGTGATCAAAGATCAATTAAGTATCTCTTTTCTTGCGGAGCGCTTTACGCAACCCCTAAACCTTGTCTTAGACACTAACTAATCTGAGAAAACTTAAACCGGTTCACTTCAGGATTTCTTGTTCCTTATTAAGCTCGAGTACTTAGGGCCAACGTCTAATGAGTTTTATTAGACTTGTGTAGTGTAGTGAGGAATTAGTGATTTTTGGGATAAGGAAAGGGTGATAAAATCCCTCACCTTATCTTGATTATGGGGTTTTGCCCTTAAAAATATTTTTAAGTGTGTGCCAAATCAAGTGCTACAATCACTTTGGTGAATTCCTACACTATATGAAATGCAACCCTAAAAATTAAAAGCGACTAAAAAGGATGATAAAAAGAAAATCTTTATATTTTTTATTAGGGTTAACAATCAAACAACTATGAGAAGGGGGAACATTGTTTGAGTTTATTATCTTGTTAGTTAATGTCCAAGTGAAAGATGTATTTTATTATGGTCAACAAAAATAAAATCTTTTTTTCCCTAAATGTCTCTAATTGTGAAGCTAGCTAGGGGTGGAATTGAAAACGCTAGAAAGAAGACTTATCTGAAAGCAAATCTTCAAATCCTAGTTCTCCAATCCACGATCTTTAAGCTCCAAGCGTTTCCTTCACAATAAACACACAAGTTAAAGAACCAAAATAATTAAAACCTACTTAAGCACCTTCCCGGACAACGACGCCAAAAACTTGATGCGGTATAATTATGTACCAAAAAGTTGCAAGTGCACAACTGTGTCAAGTTATAGTATAAAGATATCGATCCCATGAGGAATGTGTTTTGTAGGAGAAAATATAAAATCGATTCTTATGTTATGTGCGTGATAAAAAGGAGTGATGAGTGAATGTGATTGTGGAGAGATAATAAGAGTGATAGTGTGTAGATCAATGTGTTTGAGAATAAATGTGATCAATAAGGCAAGAAAGAAGAATGAATAAAATCGAGAAACAAATCAAAAATAAAATTCAAGAATAAAAAAAAATACAAGAAATTAAAGATGGTGGATTCAATTATAAATATGGGTAATCTAAAATTGAACCCACTTCTTAGAAAAGGATGATTCCCTAGAGGGTTCTAGCCTAAAGGCGAATCAAACAAAATAAAAATAAACAAAAAGAAAAACTAAACCCAAGGGGGTTCTAGCCTCAAGGTGAATAGTGCAAGAAATTAAAATCTAACTACAAAATAAATTACAAAATCTAAACTACAAAATAAATTGTAAGAATTAAATGCAAGAAAATAAATCTACTCTATAAGCATGAAATGAATCTAATCTATAAGCATGAAATAAATCTAAGGCAAGAGGGTTCTAGCCTCTTGGCTATTTAACAAGAAAATAAAATCTAACTATAAGCATAGAAATAAATCTAAACTAATAAGCAATAAAAAAGAAATAAAAGAGAAAAAAAAGAAATGCAAACCTCTAAATAATTCTTCATCTCCATCTTCATCATCCAACAAAGAGAAGAAATATTTAAAGTGGTGAAAAAATTATTATTAATAATTGTAACAAAAAGTTACAAATTTGGAAGGCCTTCTCAATTAAGAGTAGCCCTTCTCTTTAAAAGGAGTTACAAAAATTTTCACACCTCTAACCCTCACTCTCTACCCCTATTTATAGTAAACATCAGTGAATGTGAGCCATTGGATCAAAATCTTATCCAAAACAATTGATTTTCAGCCATTGAAGCATAACAGACTCTATTGGTATCGATGCTGGCATCGTTACGGGCATCGATGCTAGCATCGATGCCGCCATCGATGCTGGCATCGATGTCAGCTATTTCCTGGTTGTTGTCCGCAGATCCCTCTTGAGTTTGCTCTTGGGCTTGGGCCTTGGACAATTTCTTAGCAATTTTGGGCTTTAATACTTCATTAAATATTTGAAATAAATTGTTTGGCTTCATGGGCTTCATTTCTTCAATAAATCAAGGGCTTTTTATTGAGAGATGAGAGTTTTGATATTTATTCTTCATTAACCTGCAATTAAAGATAAAAATAATTATTAGTAGTATATTTATTCATATAAAATAGATAATGATGGTATAAAACTGTAATAAAATGTGATTATCAACATGATTTCATTGAATTAAATAGACTTGATATTGTTGAAATCATATATAGGCATATAAGCATGAAACAAATATGTATTTTCCAATTATATTCATTTGTTTCATATATATAAGGTTGAAAGCTATAAAACCAAAACATGTATGTATATATATAACTATATATATATAGAAACCAAAAATATAATGTGTGTATATATATAACTATATATATATACAAGGAAACCAATAAAATGTGTGTGTATAATATTGAGCTTAAAGTACTAACACACATAATATAAACCTAAACTAAATGTTACCCAAGCAATCTTGATCTTCGATGTAGCTCAACTTGGTAAACATTGCGGAAGAAGCTTGAATTTGGATCTTGACTTGAATGCATATGCTATACTCCACTATTCCGCCAACCTCCATTGAATATGATCGTTGAGGTTCTATTCTATCCATCCTCCAACTTGTTGTTTGTCTACAATAAATAGATATACACAAACACTAGACAAACAATATTAGTGGTAAATTGTTTGTTAAACATCATCAAAACAAAGAGACCAACAATATCTGTATCCGAGGAAATATCCGTAATCGTATCCGTTAGGATACAAATATGGTTATACAAATCTATAACCAATAGGATATGGTTACAAATATGGTTTTGTAGTGAAATATCTGTATCCGTATCCGAAATATCCGAATACATATTAGTCGTACTCTTACGATAGTTTCGATTCTTAGATTATGGATTTGTGGTTAACTTTGATGATCAAGATGTTTAATCCTAACTTTTCAGTTATGATAGATATATTAATGAACTCTTTTGTATCACATGAACTATGTTTTTCTCAATACTATCTAGTTTTCTCATATCTGTTTTGTATCTGCATGCATATACGCTTATATATCCGTAACTGTATCCGATTTAGCGGATATGGTTATAAATTTTCCTTGCTGAGGTATATCTGTATCCGTATCCGAGATGGGTAAGCGGATATATGAATATGGTAAGCATCATATCCGAGCCGTATCTGGACCGAATGCATTCCTAATTGGAGGATTAATAAAATAATAATAATAATAATAATAATCTACTACTCTATACAAATGGAAAAAAACTCAAGATTCACTATTCATGATACAGTAATAATGCTACTGCAACATTTTACTGTAGCGTTATTATTGTAGCAAACATGAAACCGGCACTGTAGATTTTTTTTTAAAATATCACATAGTACAGGGGAATACTACAATAGAGGTGGGATACTGTAGCAATCTAAAAAATTTAAAAAATTAATGTAACAGTTAAAATCGGGATTACTATAGTGGGGAAAAAAATATGACATACTTTGCACGATGTTTACACTTGTAATAATAATAATATAGGAGGAGAAAAGCTCGGTGTGCCACCGCAGCACACGCAGACGTTACTATAAATACCCCCGTCCCCACCTCAAGCCGCCCCTCGGAAAATCCCTCTCTCTCTCTCCTCCCTCTACGCGCGGGAACAGCTTACTTTCTCTCTCTAGCATGGAGGAATAGCCATCTCTTCGTCCTCCGCCCAAATCGAAACCCTGGCCACCGCCGCAAATGGCGACCCCTATCAATCACCGAAGCCTAGCTCCAACCCTAGATCACTCCTACAGTCACGATCACGATCACAATCACAATCACCAAACCCTAGAACCTCCAAACCCCCTCCGCCCGGAAACCCTAGATCCCCAATACTAACGCCCCCTCCTCCCCCTCCCTCCGAAACCTAGATCCGAACCCAAAACCCTAACCTAGCCCAAGAAAAGCCCCTGATCTCGGAGAAAAGCGGCCTCACGTCGGGACCCACAGTGGGACTGACGCGCGACGCCGTATATCCGGCGGGCGAGGAGGAGACGCAGCAGCCGCGTCGCCGCCGAAGGCCGGTGGGACGGCCGGCGCCGGAGTCGGACAACAGCGTGCTAACGCACTCCGACCCCAACGCTCCCGCCGGCGGCAGGAAGAGGGAAGTCCCGGTGGGCCGATGACGACGTGAAGCCAGTCATCCAGCTACCCGATTTCATGAAGGACTTCACTGCTGATCTCGATCCCGAGGTACAGAGCTTGAACGCAAGACTTCTTGAAATTAGCCGTCTTTTGCAATCTGGATTGCCCTTGGATGATCGCCCTGAAGGTGCTCGATCCCCGTCCCCTGAACCGATTTATGATAATATGGGTATCAGGATCAATACTAGAGAGTTCCGAGCCCGCGAGAGGCTTAATAAAGAGAGACAAGAGATTATATCTCAACTCATTCGTAGGAACCCGGCTTTTCGTCCCCCGGCTGATTATAGACCTCCCAAGCTTCAGAAGAAACTGTACATTCCCATGAAAGAGTACCCAGGCTACAATTTCATTGGGTTGATAATTGGGCCTAGAGGGAACACACAGAAGAGAATGGAGAAGGAGACTGGGGCTAAGATTGTAATTCGAGGAAAAGGATCGATTAAAGAAGGAAGATTGGGGCAGAAGAGGGACTTGAAGCCTGACCCTGCAGAGAATGAAGACTTACACGTGTTGGTCGAGGCCGAGACTCAGGAGGCATTGGATGCTGCTGCAGGGATGGTGGAGAAGTTGCTTCAGCCTGTGGATGAGGGTTTGAACGAGCATAAGAGACAGCAGTTAAGAGAGCTTGCAGCATTGAATGGGACTATAAGGGATGATGAGTTTTGCAGGTTGTGTGGTGAGCCTGGGCATAGGCAGTATGCTTGTCCTGCGAGGACTTCTACATTTAAGAGTGACGTTTTGTGTAAGATTTGTGGGGATGGAGGGCATCCCACAATTGACTGTCCTATGAAAGGGACCGGAAAGAAGATGGACGATGAGTATCAGAACTTCTTGGCCGAGCTCGGAGGAGCTGCACCTGACTCTCAAACGAAACAGAGCTCAGCATTGCCTATAATGGGTTCTGGTACTTCGGGCACCAATCTTCCTTGGGCTGGAGGAAATAGTACACAGCCTGGGGCTTCTAATGGTATCAGGAAAGAGTATGATGAGACAAACCTCTACATTGGGTATCTTCCCCCTACTCTTGATGATGATGGTCTCATAAGGCTCTTCTCGTCTTTCGGTGAGATTGTGATGGCTAAGGTTATCAAGGATAAGATCACCGGGCTGAGCAAAGGGTATGGGTTTGTGAAGTATTCTGATGTTGCACAGGCAAACAATGCTATTGCTAGTATGAATGGGTATCATCTTGAAGGGAGAACTATAGCAGTGAGAGTGGCGCCCCTCAGCCTCCTCCCCCGGGAAGTTATATGCCCACTTCGGTTCCTTGGGGCCCACGGGTTCCTCCTCAATATGCTCCATATGCTCAGCCACCGCCACCTGGTTCAAGCATGTATGCTTCTGTCCCTCCTTATGGAGTTCAGTACCCACCTCCTCCTCCACCACCAACTAGTCAAACTGCGGCTTCAAGTGAAGCAATGCCTAACTATCCTCCAGGAGTGCAGCCACAGTCTAGTACTGGACTTGTTCAGCCAATGCCAAACTATGCATATGGCAGTGTACCGCCTCCTTATCCTCCTCCTCCAATGGGTTATGCACCTTATTATGGTGTTACTCCTGTACCTCCACTGCCAAGCACTGATGCCTCTCAGGGGTTTGCGATTCCACCTTGGGCCCAGAACCCGCAGCCTCCGAGCAGTGACCAATCTCAGGGGATTGCCAATGCACCGTGGTCATCAAACCCACCTCAGGCACCACCGATTCAGCATGTATCATCTACGGAACAGCAGACAACTAATGGTGGTGATACTGATTATGAAAAGTTTATGTCTGAGATGAAGTGATGCTGATTTATGGGCATGAATTTTCGGGCTTGAAGGGTAAGACTTCTTATTGACCTTCGTCATAAATTTGATTGAGTTAACTAGCTTAGACACGGACAGGGTACGCCAAAAACACGGATACAGGACACAAATTCTTCAAAAGGTAGGGCACGACACATCAACTTGTTATTAGAATACATATTATAATTACTATGATAGTGAAGCGAGATATTACATGCATACGTAAACATGTTCATGCATTTAGGAGTCTTACCCTTTTTTCAAATAATACAAAAGATATCAAGCTTACATATATGCTATTTCCTTGACCTAAAATACATGGTTATAACTTTGCAAAAGGAAGACGACTTAGCTCTTCAACTTTATACTAAATGTTAAGACATATGTAAACTTAGTTTATACAAGTCAATAATTTATAGCATAGTTACATGGTTCGTAGTACATAGCGGGGGGTTGCACAAATTTGGGTACCCAATTCGAGATTTAGAAATTTTGGATTTGACAGGGTAGCTTGCTTCGATATGCAAGTTCGATATAGGATACAATGTATTTTTTTGGGTACGCTTATCATTTTTTAGTGTATAGTAGAAAACTAGAAACTAGAAAATCAATTATGCATTTCAATATTTTTTCATATAAAATACTTCAATACTTCATTTGTATAGTTTCTGAATATATAAAACTTAAAATATTAAATATTAGACAGCCTCTTAGTAATTTTTTCTATTTTGCAACTTTCTTCCCCTTAACATCAAGTGCATCTTCTGGTATTTTCGAGTCCAAACAATTCCATCTGAGCTCTTCCAATTTATTTGAAGAGTCCTCCAAGTTACCATTATTGGGATCCATATCCCATCCTTTATATGGACCAACTTTGTAATTCTCACAAAATTGTGACGCCAGGCAAATGTTTCAATGGATGAATACTGACTTATCCGCCCTTCCACTGTTCAATCTATTCATTTTCACACTATGTATGTAGGAATACGTACTCCAATTTTTTTGAGCTGAAGAGCTACTAATACGCTGAGACAATCTTCTTGGCAATATCAATTAAAGAAATAGTGATCTAGAATTAGTTAGTAACTTTGGATAACTTTCACTTACTGGAAGAATATTTTCAATAATATTATCAAGCATATAAAAAAATCCAAGCACATGTGCATGAAAATAGACTTGTAAATTAACTTTGGTCCCCTCATACTTAGTAAGCTATATGCTAATTTTGGGGAACAAATTCATGTATCGGAAGGAATCGGTTCGTAAATGTACCGGGAATCAGTTCGCATGAACTGTTCGGCACTTCGAGGGCGGTCTAGGGAATCACACAACTATGATTTATAGTAATTTCCATTATATTCTTTGGTGTATAAATAAAAATAAATATACATTTCTTGCATGTATACAAATGAAGAAGTGTGTTCAAGAAGTGTATGACGAACATTTTAAATTAAACTTGTAGTGTATATATAGAGGACACATTTGAATGGGTGTGTGCATATCCATTTAGTGCCCAAGGAAGTGTCCTTGTCCAGTATGGGTATCGGAACATCAGATGTGGGTACGACTTCATGGTAGAAGCACTGATGCTATATAGGAGTTGTCCTGTGTTTTCATGTTTGCACTTTATGCACTGATTAACATTACTATTGGAATTTTATGTTCTTCATATAGTTGATAGAGTTTGCTGTTTACTCGTTAACTTTGTCTATGCTTGCGGGAACTATTTTGTACTACTTTTTCTTTTATATATTTCCACTTGTTGACATAAAATCTTGTGGTGATTGACTTTTTCTGGCAGGCTTAAGGTTTCATGGAGCTATTGTGATCCTGATTATTTCCTGTTGCTTTGACTACTACTAGTTGGAAGTTTGGGACTCACATCTTAACTCTTGCTGTAGTGTTATGTCAATTGCAGAGTAATGCTTGGACAAGCTGGCCCAAATCACATGGTATTTGAGACTATTTGGTTTCTCTGTTGCCTATGCCGTGTACTATGGGTCTCGTTTTGCCTTCCATGGCGGTGTTTCCAGCCACTGACATGCTTGGATTGTTTGTTATCCTATATTTGCTTTCTACTGGATATTATGGACTTGCTTACTAATGTTTGTGTTGTTACTTCTGTTGAAGACTTATTACATTTTCTTCTGTAGCTAATTTGATTTGCTTTATCATGGTACTATTTGATTTTCTAATCTGTAACCTTTAAATTCATATGAGATGGAGTTGACCTATGGAGGCAGTGCCAGAGGGTTCAGATTCTGAGAGGGCCTTGTCTTCATGTTGGTATGTAAATTTAGGTTCTTGCTAACGTGTTGCCGCCTCTTGTTCAGCCCTCCTCTCTTTATATATTGTTTGCCTAATGTACAAATAAAGTCCAAATGTTACAGGTGGGAGGACAGATCATCCATATTGCTAACGCTTATGTCATCTCGTTTTAGTTGCCATAAATCTGATTCATTTTTTTAGCTGGGATATGCTTGCTAACTTCACATTGTTATTCGTTTATCTTTGTGTTCTCTAATCTGGACTGACCATGTTAACTGATCTTTATAGAAAATTGTTCTTTTGTTGGATTGTGCGCATCAATGGATAGCAACAGAGAAGGTAGCTTCCTTTCTTCAAGGTGTTTCTTTAAAAGAGGATATCCACTAGAAGCCTATCCATTTTTTTGGACTCTTTCATGTTCACATATAGCTAAGCTAATTGTTTTTACACTAGCAGAAGACAACAAAATAGAAACAGTTAACATAGTTGGTTAAAGATACATCAACTAACTTCTTACAGAATCCATTTCCAGTTTTTCTGATCAGCAGGTTTCTCCAACTACTAATTTGTAGTAAGTATGGTTTCTTTACATTGAATACTTAGGGGGTGTTTGGCAGTGCTTATTTTTTGGTTAAAGTAGCTTTTAAGCTAGCTTATTCATATATACATGGTTGTGACATTTCAAATAAGCTAACTTTCTTAAGTCCCATTTAAAAAAGTTGAGTTCTCCAACTTTCAAAAAACTAGCTTATAAACTCGTATACATAAGCTAGGTTTGACCAAACAAATGAATTTTCTATCCTTACAAGTACATAAAATTTATATGTCGTGAGAGTTAAAAGCCCACCAAAAGCTAGCATAAAAATCAAAAGCGACCAAAAGCTAGCAAATACCTTATAAGCTTCAAAAAATAAGCCCTCCCAAACACCCTCTTATTCGCCTTTAAACTGTCAGTTACAAGTAATCTGATTGTTTCTAGTGCAATAGAATTAATGCATCCTGAGTTATGGGGATCAGGAAGATGATGTGTGCTAGCTTTCTTATGCTACAAGATGCAGCTAGACTGGTAAGTTTTGAATGTTACTATCTGGCAAACTCATTGTGTTAAGATGATTGTACAGACAACTTTACCTATGCAGGGGATTGGTGGGTGATATACTTTGGATGATGCAGAACTTGTTAACCTCTGTGAGTATCTTGGCTCTGACACTTGAAGGCACCTATCACCCATTATGAGGGTTAACTCTCACATAGGCTAGGCAATCAGTATTGGTGTTCAGAGTTACTTAGCTTTGAGAATAAATTACTTGAGTAGTAAGGAATCTGTTGATTCTGTTCGTTATTAAAGATAAGACCTGTCAATAGGTTCTTATTTTTCCAATTGCTCTAGGTGCATTTACTCTATTAGCTTTTCTGGACAAGCATAAATATGCTGAAGATCAGCCCGATATTCTTTCTTTTTGGGAACCATTACCTGTTGGTGCGTAGGGCATTATGCTTCTGCATGATTACCTTGAGGTGAAGTGTTGACCTCCCTTCTCCTCCATTCTCCCTTTAAAAACACCTCCGCTTCTGCACCTTTTTTCCCCTCTCTTCACCGCATCCAAAGGGTATTAGGGTAAAAAAAAGATATAAATGGAGGATCTTTGAGTATCTTCTTAGAGCTATGATGGATTTTTTCCCAATTATTTAAGATTCATATAACTAAGAGTTTGTCTATGTTCAAATGCAAAAAGTCATATTTCTTGTCAAACTTTATTAATAAAATTTTTCTTACATGATCCCTTTAATAAGAAACCTTGTATAAAATATTATTGTACTCGTACAGAACATTCATTCTTATTGAGCAACTGCAATCAATGGGTTAGTGCAAATCAGATATGTAGTCATGGATTTTTTTTCTTTCATATATTTACTTTTGAGAGTTAAACATATTAGAGGTGAATGATTTATTTCCCTCTAACATTGTTCAAGTTTAGTGATCATACTAAGCAGTGGTTCGTGTAATGTATTCATTTAATGTCACCCAAAATGCGCACCCTCCTCTTTTTTTTTTTTGATTGCCTTATGCTACTAAGTGTAGGTTGCACACAAATGCTTGTTAGTAAGGCAGCAAAATAAACAAGTTATCTCATGTATAATGCAAACACAGTTTACATCTTTCAATTTTATTCTCAAATATTATTTATCAACCTCGCAAAGGAAAGGGTAACTCTACAAGTTAACCCTAAAATATGCAAAGCAAGATTAAATATCAAACTTCAAAACTTATATGCTTCTACCGCATAGTTCTATTGCTGTTGATCATAGTAATACCATAGTTCTTTCATTGTGTGGTTAACCCTTTGGAGTGAGCAATGTATTAACTCCTTTTTGAAGTAGTCTTTTGTCTGGGCAGGATCCTGGTTTTTATTAGTTATAGTATTTATTTTCTTAAGTTATTGAACTTAGTCTATTACCCGTGTTTAGTGTGGCGAACATTAATTCATGTTTGCATGTTATTCCAATTTTAGGTATAGAATTTATCTACACTCTTGACAGTGTAGCCTTTCTGCTGATATCATTAAGGACTAGGTTGCATCTACATGTCTCTAGTTTTTCTCTTTGTTAAATATATTAAATCATCAACCTTTAAATTACTGTAATATTTCTGAAGTTCACATGTTTTTTTTTTTGTATTTTGTAGTAGTAGTAGCACAGCAACTACACAAATTTTTTTATTGCATTCTTTTATCTACCAAGTCTCAGTATTTCAAATCACCTAGTTCTTCTCTCTAGACAATAATTTGTATCTGAACTTAACTTAACTTGGGCTACAGTGGTGTTTTGTTAATTCAAATTTCAGCTGATTGTGCATCATATATAAATCAATATACCGATGTTGGTCTTGTTGGATGGCCCTTTACTTTTATAATGTTTTCTTTTGATTATCTTTAAATCTGATTCTTATCATGTTTCTATTGTCGTATATTGATTTCTCATATGGCTTCTTAAGCATTATTATTCAAGTTGCACATTAGCTTACTTATATTTTAGTTTTTCTTTCTAAAATTTGGTAGGTCCTTTGTTTATTAAAAATGTTGACTTGTTTTCTTCAGCACTTCGTGGTTTATCATTTATTTCTTTTACTCACTACTTCAGAGACAATATTCTTGTTAGTATTCCTTTTGTTCGCTTGGGTGATATATGATCAAGGTGAACACAGTATACTACAATGTTAGGGTCATTTGCTGCGCTCAGTTAAATTAAACCTCAGAAGGAGATCTTGAAGTGCTAGTTTTCCATGATAGGCTTCTAACTATTGGGAGCCATCATTGTGAAAGGTCCCGTGGCTCTGATCGCATGACAGGAAAATGGCATGTTACTGGTGATCAACTTCTCGTCAATTTAATCTTTTAGAGGATATTAGTATGAATGGTTCAGAATCTTGAGTGTCTGATATTGGCATTTATGTAAATAGGTGGCTTGTCATGCTAATTCTTTACATAATTATTGTCCGCAGGTAAGAGAAATTTGTATAGGTAGATCATAGATATTTACTTATGTTGGCAGAATATCCACATACTAGTAACTATGACCACACAATATGTAGTGATAACCTGAAGTAGAAGGACCATAATTCTTAGGATTGTGGTTGAGTAAATGTGGTTCATCTGCTAGTAACTGCGCAAAGCAATGCCATGGTAAATCATAAATGACATTTGTTATCTGTATATGACTATATGAGAGCATAGAAATAGTTGAGGTCATGGTAGGATTTAATCACATTGTATGTAGTGGAAGGTTTCAGATGTTATATTATAAACAGAAGCCATCCTGTTGAGTTGTGAACCAAGTAAAGAAAATGGAAACATCAATGATATAACTTTGTGAGGGAATGATGATATCCAATGTTGGAAGTAGTAATTTTGATAGCATGTTGTAAGCAGTAATTTTGGAGGAAGCTGCCTCTCAGCCCTCTACTTCAGGTTAGTAATTGGAGGCAACTTAATAGAGGTATTTTGGAAGTAATGAAGAAGGCTTTTGATGGTTTTGATGCTGAGATTTGATGAGTAATGGTTGTTTATACTAGTTAAAATTAAAATGTTAATAAATGTGAATGATGTTTTGATATTGATATTAGACTGGTAATATCATTCATGTAGTGGAGGCATTCAATAATAGAGGCATCCTCATTTGTGACACAGAAAGCTGTCAGCCAACTATTGGCAACTCCTTGTGTCTAATACATGCGTTGTATCCTATGTAGCACGGACACGGATCCGACACGGCCATCCGACATGCCGACACGAGGCAAATCCTAAAAAATACGGACACGGATCCGACACGGCCATCCGACATGCCGACACGAGGCAAATCCTAAAAAATACATAGGATACGTGTGTTCGACACGTGTGTCCGACACGGACACGACACGGCTTCATGTTATGCGTGTCCGTGCTTCATAGGACTTGTATCTACCGATTGAGGTGGTGTGACCCTAACTTTAAATCTTTTTAAGTGTCTAGTCTGAAAGCAACTCTTTATCTATACATTCTTATGTCAACAAATTCGAGAAACTCAGGTAATCTCGTGGTATAAGAGAAGGTGAATTTAGCAGTCTGCACTTTATAGGTATAGGTGTTTCACTAGTTGGCCAATGAGCGTGCAGATTGCATACTGAGAACACTAATAGTAAGTACCTTGGCAGATTACCGTAACAATATTGCTGTCACTTAGTAGGTCCTTGGACTATTCTACTGGAAGCTTTATTTGGAACTTGGACTATTCTACTGGAAGCTTTATTTGGAACTAAGCAAGTAAAGAAGTTGATATGACAATAGTCAAACTCGTGCAGCTTATGCTTTCAGAAGTAATTATTTGCTTAACATCAGGTGATTCATGTTCCTGAATGAGTGATGGGTAGATATATGTTAAGGATTAAGTTGAGTATCGGAGACGAGTTCTTTAATGGCACTTCAGCTTGTTGCATATTGGATATCCAGGTAGCGATGTTATTGAATTTGTAAATGTTAGGCTAACCTTCAACTAGAATGCATAGTACCAGGCTCCTTGGACTGGCATCTATTACTTTAATCCTGATTGCCAAGCTTGTATGAGAAACTCTTAGATGTATAAATCTAGAGAATAGCACGTTGCTGAGTTTTTGAAGTACCTGTACTTCTATTGTAGACAAAATAGTGGTAAAGCCTAAAGAAATCCAGAGTGGTCGATGGATTGTTTTTTATACTGTTGAATTTATCATGATTTTCTCTAGGAAAGACTGAATTCGATGACATATTCAGATCATGGATGTGGTGCTTAGGACCCAAATGGAAATACTGGCTGTTGCTTGTAATCCCCAATTAGGGGTGGCAATCTAGACCCAAAACCAATAATCTACCCATACCCACCCACAAAATAGTCCAACTATACCCACCCACTTAACGAAGCGGGTCCTAAATGGGTGGGTATTGCTTCCATACAGCCTAAATGGTTCATAACCACACCCGCCCATAACCAACCCAATTTGATCCAAAGTCTGCAAAATGTCTGCGCAAATGTGCTTCTAAAGTGAAGTCCCTACTAGGGAATGGCTGAGGTACCAATGGCGCAGTATTAACTATTTGTTCTTACTAGTGTTTGTATAACACGAAAGTGTAAATTAATTTATAGATGTTTATCTCATTCATAAATAAAAATTAAATATATTTATTTATTTTTTTCAGTTAGAAAGCTATGCATGTAGCGGGATTCAGGATCCCGATCTTGACATTTGGCTCAAGGCGGAGCAATTTCGTGGCGCATGGTAGCAATTAATTTATTTCTAGTATTTGTTTTTCAGTTTTAAACCCCCCCCAAAATGTCTGCAGAAAACCCCCTAAAAATCTGCAGAAACCCCCCTGAAAATTTACAAAAAAACCCCTGAATGTTTGTAGAAAACCCTCTGAGAGTTTGCAGAAAACCCCCTGAAAGTTTGCAGAAAACCCCTGAAAGTTTGAAGAAAACCCCCTGAAAGTTTGCAGAAAACCCCCTGAAAGTCCGCAAAAAAACATTTGAAAGTCTGTAGAAACCCCCTGAAAATTTGCAGAAAAACCCCTAAAAATTTACAGAAAACCCCTTGAAAGTTTGTAAAAAACCCCCTAAAAATTTGTAGAAAACCCTAAAAATTTACAAGTAGATCACTGAAACTTATATATATATATATATATATATCCCATTTAGTAAATGGGTGGATGAGAAGTGACCCATTTAGCAAATGCTAAATGGGTCATAAATGGTCAAATGGTCATAAATGTGCCTACCCATTTATGACCCAACCAAGACCCAACTAAAACCATCCATTTGACATCCCTATCCCCAATGGTCAATAGGTCGGAGCATCTATTCCCCCCTGTTTATTCTCGTTAAATAAAATTATAACCCACAACAACTCAACTTTTGGTGAATGTGAGGGCTAAAAAGTTGGTTATTCGTTCTCTCTTTTGTCATGCATGGTTTCTACATGAGAATGGTCTTCTCTCTATTCTGAACATCTTGACTCTGCATTTGTTGTTTTCTGTGGACACTT